GTAGTCTTTGTGGATATATTAAATTCCAAGTGGATTTTAGGCAGTATAATTTTCTATACTCCTATAATCCTTTTATTTAAAAAAGTCATTGTTACCAGAGGCTTAAATCGCACAAACCTTTTTTTAACCTCTATCAACACCTTGTATACAACCATTTAATCTAGAGAGAGTATCTTCATCTCTTTAGATAAAGGAGGCTCAGAAAAGGTGACAGTTTTAAGACCTTCGTCTTACTAGGACTTTTAAGGCAAACATAATTGACCTGCAAATGAACACAGTGTCCAGCAGATGGCAGCAGTGTACCACTTAGTACCTGACAGTTTTTAGAGGCTAACAATCTTGAGTTTATTGTTTAATCACAAAATAGCTATCTCTAAAAGAGTTCAGAATGCATCTGGATTGACCTTTAGTCCTTAAGATCCATGAGTTTCCTCCTTGTTCAGTAGGTTTATGTATATGGTATGGGAAACAACAAAAACATTCATTCTGTGCTTTGGAACAAGACAGTGTCTCTGATCTAAAGAGAAGACAAAGTCTGAGAACGGTTAGAGAATTGATGGCAAAAGCTGAGAACAGTGTATTGAATTCTCCTACAGTGATATTGGAGTTACCATTTTTGCTTTGAAATTCTGTGAATTTTTTGTTTTGTATAAATTTTAGGCTTATTTTGTTAGGTGTGTACCTGTTCAGAATTTTTTTTTTTTTTTTTTTTTTTTTTTTTTGGTGAATTGGACTTTTCATCATTATTTAGTGATCTTCTCTAATTGTGCTTTTTGTTTTCAGACTTTTTTCTTAAATATTAATAAACCTTACCAGTTTTATTTTTATTTTTTCCTTCTTTTACTATCAACCGTTTTACTATATAGCAAATAGCTTATTTTGTTAACATTTTCCATTTGTCTTTTTTTTTTAATTAGTGAGTTTAAGTTTTAAATTTTGCATTTCTTGATATACTTGGACTTTATTCTTCCATCTTATTATTTTTATTTAAATTTTTCTTTTTCTGCCCCTCCCCCCAAAGTAGTTCAAAATAGTATCTCTAACTTAACCCAAAGACCTTTAGCATATTCTCACTTTTCTTGGTCTCTACAACACTGCTTCTTCCAGCCCAGGTCAAGATAAGGAGCTTTCACTAGATAGAATGTACATCAACTGTGTCACTTCTGACCGTTTAGTTCCATCCACTGTTTATTTCTGCTGACATTGTTTTTATAGTAAGTCTTCCTTTTTAAAAGAAACAGTGCCTTCCTGTTCCTTTCAGTCATTCTCTTACTCTGCAAGAACTTTATATAAATGAACCCATAAACATGTACTAGTTTTTGTCTGGCTTCTTTTCATTAATATGTATTGTGAGTTATTGTTTCTTTATTCTTATTGTATCATATTCCTTTGTGTGAAAATACTACAACTTATCTTATTGTTCATGGGCATTTAGGTTGGTTCCAGTTTCTGGCTATTAGAGTATGCACTATTGTGAAGATTTTGATGTATGCTTTTATTGGTGAACATTTATTCATTTTTGTTGGAAAAATGTGTAGGAGAGAGATTCCTGAGTTATAGGCTATGCTGATGTATAAAGATGCTGTCAGTTTTTCAAAGTGATTTTGCCTGTTTACACTCTTCATTGGCAGTAAATGAATGTTCCAGAAATTTCACCTTCTTCTCTATACTTGGTACTTTCTGCCTTTTTGCATTTTTTATTTTCTGGCATGGGTATAGTAGTATTACATTGAGATTTTGTCTTGTATTTTTCAATAACTTTTCACAGAGCACCTTCACATATGTTTATTGGGCCATGTGTCTTCTGTTGGGTTATTTGTATTTTTTCTTAATGATTTATAAAAATTCTTGATGTTTTTATATATAAATCTTATTTTGTTTCAATATGTAGATGTTTGTATGCATGTATGTATTTAGATATTATATATGTAGATTATATTATCTACTGAGGGTTACTTTTGAAATCTCCTAATAGTGTCTATTGGTGATAGAACTTACCAATTTTGATATTGTCCAATTATATAGGTTTTCCTTTTATTGTTACCAATTTTTTAAACTCTGGAGCTTTTTCACACCTTAATATCATGAATATATGTTTCAGTGTTTTACTATAAAAGCGTAAAAGCTAGGTGCTGCTGTTACAGAAATGAAATCAGACATCATCTCCTTTCCAGTGTCTCACAAATGCAGCCATTTCTGATTCAAAGGCCAGTGTCTTGACTCCAAGTTCGCACTTTTGCGAGCTTTGCTTAATGTGTATATCCCCCTATTCTCCAGGTCTTCTTTCTTTCTAGTTCTTCTTAGTATACACAACCTCTCAGGGCAATCACTTCCATGCCCATGGCTTCAGTTGCTTTCTCTATTCACTGAGGACAATAGAATTTTAAATTTAAAATATTACCTTTATTTGTAAGATCCCTCATTTGCTATAACCATAGATTCAGGGTTGCTCCATGAAAGTAAGAAAAAATGGTGATATACTTAGCATGTAAGTTTTAGGAATTTTCCCATTACTCTAAATGGTTTGATTTAGTATGTGTTTTATTTTTAATAACATATGTTTGGATGTCACAAATGGACTTAGCCTACAGAGATTTATATTCAAGTTTGACCAGAGAGTTCCATTTTAATGTGACACTGAGCGTAAAAAAAACTGCCTTTTCCTTTTTATCTATTTGTCTTCCTACATTCTCTGCCAGGAGAAAGGTACAACTCTGTACCCAGTCTTCCCCAACAGAGCCCGAGCAGCCCTGTTTTTCCCTCTACTTTGCTGCTTTCACATCTCATGATTAAGTACTTCCTATTCTGTCTCCTTAATAATCACAAAATTTTTTCCTCCACTTTTGTCACTGCCACTGCCTTTTGCATCAGTCTTCCTTTAGATAGTCTCTTAATTGGTCTGTTGCTTTCTTCAGTCCTTCCTTATTATACAGACCACTGCACCCACATCTGAAAGAGATTCCTCAACTTTGTATGGTTTAATGACTCAAATTTTCAGAATAAAATTAAAACCACCACAGTGTCAAATTTGAGGTGGGTTTGTATCTCAGATTCCTACACTGTCCAGTAGTGTGATCTCAGAAAACAACTTCGTAAGCCTTTGTTTGTGTATCTGCCTACCCTCATTGAAATTTTGGACTGTTTTACACATATAGTGTCTGGCATGTAGGAGGGACTTCATCAATATTGAATGAAGAGGAGGCATTTTAAAATTCACATTAAAAAAAAATGCCAGTCTATAATATCACTTCCCTTCCAAGCTTGGCTTCTACCTGTACTTTCTGATACAGTTTGGTCATGTCCCCACCCAAATCTCATCTTAAATTGTAATCTCCAAAACCCCCACATGTTGAGGGAGGGACTCTGTGGGAGGTAATTGGATCATGGGGGCAGTTTCCCACATGCTGTTTTTGTGATAGTGAGTTCTCATGAGATCTGATGGTTTTATATGTGTTTGACAGTTCCTCCTTCACATGCTCACACTCTTTCGCCTGCCACCTTGTAAGAAGTAATGGCTTCCCCTTCTGCTAGGATTGTAAGTTTCCTCAGTCCTCCACAGCCATGTGGAATGTGAGTCAATTAAATTTCTTTGCTTTATAAATTACCCAACCTAAAGTATTTCTTTATAGCAGTGTGAAAATGGAATACTGCACTTTCTGATGATCACGCTTGAGGAATTGGGGAATTCATACTACCTGAGATCAAATAATGGCCTCAGACTGGGCAGTCATATGACCTTGGGGAGATAACTTACCTTCTCCATTGTAGTGTCTTCTCTAAAACTGGTGAGATTGTTTCTGAGGGCTAAATGAGCATAGCCCACTTGGAACACTGTCAGGCACATACTGCTTGCTAGGTATTCAGTATTCATTTTTTTTTTTAACATGTTCTAATCCAATGCAAAGAAACTAAGAACCTTGCAGTATTCATTTTTATTGAGTTAGCACTGTGGTAACCCACCTTATGGCTCTTGATTTTGCATAACAAAGTCATGCTTAGTGCTTTGTTAGTAAAAGAGAGAAAATCTAAAAGTCCCTGCCATGGAAGGAAGAAACGGGAGAAAAGGAAGTTGGTAAGTTTCAGTACTTTAGAGCTTGGGGGGACAAGTTAGGTTTCTATTTAATGGAGAAGGAGGTGGAGGCAGGATGGATTATAAGGTGTCATTCAAGACACACAGCCATAAGTCTTTAGTGAGAGTAGAGCTAGGGCCCCAGGGATTGCTGTGGACAAGTTGCAGACAAAAACTATCACTCATTGGAAGACAGGAGAGGAATATTTCAGGTGTGTCTACATTGAGTCAACAAATAAAAGTTCAACTTGGTTGCTAATGGGACCCACTCTGCTAACTGCCACTTTGTATAGAACTAGAGGAAGATGGCTTCCAGTAATGAACCACCCTGTTTTTAGGACTAAAAAGCTCAGGAAGCTGGTGGGTGATGAATGAAAAACTTAGTTCCACTGGCACTGAAGGAGGGGCCAGGAGAGCAGTGGCATCATAAGCCACAGGGTGGGGCAGCCTGGGCAGTGGGGGAGGGGTGGCAGCCAGGGTGGGGCATTGTGAGGTGTGGGGTGGGGCAATGTGAGTCACGTGCCTGGGATTCCACTGTGGCCAGTGGGCTTCAGTCTGTAGGTGACTGCAGGAGTAGCTCCTTTTGAACTCTCTTCCAGCAGTTGTATCACTTGGTGCTTGTTGGGTTCCCAACCTATTAAATTAGCCAGCTGTTTGTGACCCTCCCAGACAAGTCAACTTAGGAGAGGCGGTGGGGTGCGGGCCTTGGGCCCGGCCCTAGCCGGGGCGTCGTGTGGGCAGGTGAGCAGCGGGCAAGGCCATCTCTGAAAGTGCGGCACAGCCTCGGCCTAGGGCAGCAGGAGTGCCTGGCCAACACTGAGTGGAGGCACAGGTGGCGGCAGACAGGAGTAGAGGTGCCCCATGGGGAACAAACTGTGCTGCTGTGTGTGCCCCATTTCGGACGATGATGAGGTGTCAGGGTGTCCTCCAGAGTCGAAAATCTGTGAAGCACCAGCTGAGGACGCGACAGCAGCAGCGCCCATGGCTGCTGCCATAGAACCTACCGAGTTGACTGTTGAAGCTGGTGAGGACCTTCCTGTGCATGACATCTGTGATGGGGAGATGCCCGAAGGTAAGGAGGTGATGGTGCCATATGCCCTGGCCACCCCTTTGGCTGCTGCTGTCTTCAAGGTCCCCTGGGGGCCATTCCCTACCCCAGGCTCCTTTTTGCCTGTAGCCAGCTTTTCCAGGGCTGGTCAGAAACACAGGCTGACTCTGCCTTGTGTTCCTTTTTCAACCACTTAGTCTTTCTCCACGGAGTCCAGTCAATTTCTTTTCTCCTCTTCTCCCAAACACCCAGTTCTTGCTCCCTCATTCTCTCAGGCTGGCCTTGGACCATTTATTTATGTCTCTTCTTGTCTGTAGCTCTGTTTATTATTCTGTGGGATTTTGTTGAGGCTTTTATTGGAATAACTCTTCCTTTTTTCAATAAAAACTCAAATACACCAACTTTCCAGTAGCCATCTCATTCTTTTTTGTACCTATCCAGATGGTACCTAAGTGAAGGAACCAGGTAAGTGCCTAATTATTTCCTTCATTAAAGTAGCTAAATCTCAGGACAATTCATGCTGAAATATTTGGGGATTTCTTTTCTGAAATCAGTATGAGGTTGCCATGGGAGAGATGATAGGATATTCTTTATTTTTATTTTTGAGATGGAGTTTCACTCTTGTTACCCAGGCTGGAGTGCAACGGTGCAATCTTGGCTCACCACAACCTCCGCCTCCTGGGTTCAGGCAATTCTGCCTCAGCCTCCTGAGTAGCTGGGATTACAGGCGTGCACCACCACACCCGGCTAATTTTTTGTATTTTTCGTAGAGATGGGGTTTCACCATCTTGACCAGGATGGTCTCGATCTCTTACCTTGATAGGTGCTTATTTTTTTCTAACTGTAATTTGAATGCAAAAGGAAAGAAAATGGGAGGGTGCTTAAATAATTGTGAAAGGTATGAAATTTCATGGCCAGGGCTGCAGAAAAATGGGTGTTTGTTTTCCTCCAAAGGAGTTTGCCTGTGAGGCTCTGATGAGTTTAAAATTCTTACTTTAACACAAAATGTGTCTCTAGATTTATTCTGGTGACTTAACAGACTTTATTTACCTGCTTGTTCTGAAAGAGAGGTACGGATGGTTCGTGGTCAAAACTTTCAAAAGACATGAAACGTCAATGTAGACTTAACATGTAACATAAATATTGAAGGTTAAAACTGTGGAAGAGTGTTTGCTGCCATGGCTCCCCGTTAGTCATTCCCCCACCTAACAATAGCATTTTGTTTAAAGATAAGAAAGTAAAGCATAAGAAGCTGGAAGCCATCGTTTTCAGCAAACTCACACAGGAACAAAAACTAAACCCCACATATTCTCTATCGTAAGTGTTAGTTGAGAACACATGGCCACAGGGAGGGGAACATCACACACTGTGGGGTTCATTGTTGGGTGGGGTGTAAGGGGACGGAGAACATTAGATCGAATACCTAATGCATGTGGGGTTTAAAAACCTTGAAGATGTGTTTATAGGTGCAGCAAACCACCAGGGCACATGTATACATATCTAACAAGGCTGCACGTTCTGCACATGTATCTCAGAACTTAAAGTAAAAAAAAAAACACACACACACAACAAAACAAAAAAACCAACATTGGTTGGGCTCTTAGTTTTTTCCAGAGGTAGAATAATTAACATTCATGATGAATGTGACATTGTAACTTGGAGTACTATACTCACTTTTCAAGATGTTTAGGAATTTTGAATAAACAAATATATTATGTGAATTGATTATACCTTTATACACAAAATGTGTAAGTACTTGTGTAAACTTATACTCTGGTTGCTGGTGTAAGGAAAGCCTGTGAGTGATTTTACACAACAGTTTATAGATGGGTAGTGCTGGATTAGAGAACAAAAAAGGCTCTTTATTGCTATTCTTTAGGATTACAATACAGTTTATGTATGTCTCTTTTGGCCCCTTCCAATACAAAGAAGGCTTGTGTATGTTCTCCCTCTGTATTCCTAATGAAGAAATGAAGACAGAGATCTCACATGACTATGGACGACAGCTGCTCAACAGAGCTAATATTCTGTGTCTTCAGAATGTTGTGGAAGTGACAAATATGCTGAATTTACTTTTTAAAAAATTTTTAAACTCCAGAATACATCTTATACTTTGTATATAAAATAGGCCTTGCTTTTAAAATGGATTGCCATCTTGATTTATTTTATGCAAAGTTGATTTTACACAATTTATAGGGAACATTTACCTCTTTCTTTTTCTTAAATAAAACAGAGTCTCACTATGTCACTCATGCTGGCCTAAATTCCAGACTTGGGTTCGAGGGATTTTCTTATCTCATCCTCCTGGGTAGCTGGGAGTACAGGCATGCACCAGCTTGTCTGGCCTCATCTTATTTCTATACATTCATTTCAATGGATAAGAATAAAAGTAGAGGTATTAAAATGGCCTCCTTATTGAATAAATGAGTTGATAAGTTGTTATAATGATCACATCTTTTTTCTTTTCTCTCTGTATAGATAGGGCTTTGGAGTCCCACTATTCTGATCATCCAAAGACAAAGAAATCTCAGGCAGTTGGTGAGCCAACATTGTTTTTTTCTATCAAGAAGATGAGTAAAAATTCTTGTTTGATGAGGTGTATAATAGAAGGTGTTTAGCAGAACTCATATTGGTTTAAATTTTTAAAATTTTTACGTATTCACTTGTGTTATATTAACATGTGATATACTTTGCTTGTTGTTATGTTACTGAAAACATGTCAACTTTTTGTTCATGCATTTTCCCATCTTTTTATCAACACAATTTGTCATGTAGTGGAGGAGTCTTAGATTTATCTTTATGTTTAATTCTTTGTCCCTTTTCCCAATGGATAAGAATAAAAGTATGTGTAGGAATGGCTTCCTTGTCAAATAAGTGAGTTGATAAATTGTTATAAGTGATTACATACTTTTTCCTTTCTCTCTGTGTATGTATAGATAGAGCTTTGGAGTCCGACCCTTCTGATCATCCAGAAGGAAAGAAATATCCAGCAGATGGTGAGATAACATTGTTTTTTTTCTACCAAGAAGAAGAGTGAAAAGTCTTGCTTGATGAGGTGTATAATAGAAGATGTTTAGCAGAACTCATATTGGTTTAAATTTTTTAAATTTTTCACATATTCACTTGTGTTATTTTCACGTGATATACTTTACTTGTTATGTTAGTGAAACTATGTCAACTTGTTGTTCATAGATTTTCCCATCTTTTTATCAACACAATTTGTCATGTAGTGGAGGAGTCTTAGATTTATCTTTATGTTTAATTCTTTGTTTCTCTTCCCAATGGATAAAAATAAAAGTAGGTGTAGGAATGGCTTCCTTGTCGAATAAGTGAGTTGATAAATTGTTATAAATGATTACATACTTTTTCCTTTCTCTCTGTGTATGTATAGATAGAGCTTTGGAGTCCGACCCTTCAGATCATCCAGAAGGAAAGAAATATCCAGCAGATGGTGAGACAACATTGTTTTTTTCTACCAAGAAGAAGAGTGAAAACTCTTGTTTGATGAGGTGTATAATGAAAGGTGTTTAGCAGAACTCATATTGGTTTAAATTTTTAAAATTTTTACGTATTCACTTGTGTTATTTTCACGTGATATACTTTACTTGTTATGTTAGTGAAAGCATGTCAACTTATTGTTGATAGATTTTCCAATCTTTTTATCAACACAATTTGTCATGTAGTAGAGGAGTCTTAGATTTATCTTTATGTTTAATTCTTTATTTCTTTTCCCAATGGATAAGAATAAAAGTAGGTTTAGGAATGGCTTCCTTGTCGAATAAGTGAGTTGATAAATTGTTATAAGTGATTACATACTTTTTCCTTTCTCTCTGTGTATGTATAGATAGAGCTTTGGAGTCCGACCCTTCTGATCATCCAGAAGGAAAGAAATATCCAGCAGATGGTGAGGCAACATTGTTTTTTTCTACCAAGAAGAAGAGTGAAAACTCTCGTTTGATGAGGTGTATAATAGAAGGTGTTTAGCAAAACACATATTGGTTTAAATTTTTAAATTTTTTATGTATTCACTTGTGTTATGTTAACATGTGATATACTTTGCTTGTTGTTATGTTACTGAAAACATGTCAATTTTTTGTTCATGCATTTTCCCATCTTTTTATCAACACAATTTGTCATGTAGTGGAGGAGTCTTAGATTTATCTTTATGTTTAATTCTTTGTCCCTTTTCCCAATGGATAAGAATAAAAGTAGGTGTAGGAATGGCTTCCTTGTCAAATAAGTGAGTTGATAAATTGTTATAAGTGATTACATACTTTTTCCTTTCTCTCTATGTATGTATAGATAGAGCTTTGGAGTCCATCCCTTCTGATCATCCAGAAGGAAAGAAATATCCAGCAGATGGTGAGATAACATTGTTTTTTTCTACCAAGAAGAAGAGTGAAAAGTCTTGCTTGATGAGGTGTATAATAGAAGATGTTTAGCAGAACTCATATTGGTTTAAATTTTTTAAATTTTTCACATATTCACTTGTGTTATTTTCACGTGATATACTTTACTTGTTATGTTAGTGAAACTATGTCAACTTGTTGTTCATAGATTTTCCCATCTTTTTATCAACACAATTTGTCATGTAGTGGAGGAGTCTTAGATTTATTTTTACGTTTAATTCTTTGTTTCTTTTCCCAATGGATAAGAATAAAAGTAGGAGTAGAAATGGCTTCCTTGTCGAATAAGTGAGTTGATAAATTGTTATAAGTGATTACATACTTTTTCCTTTCTCTCTGTGTATGTATAGATAGAGCTTTGGAGTTTGACCCTTCTGATCATCCAGAAGGAAAGAAATATCCAGCAGATGGTGAGGCAACATTGTTTTTTTCTACCAAGAAGAAGAGTGAAAACTCTTGTTTCATGAGGTGTATAATAGAAGGTGTTTAGCAGAACTCATACTGGTTTAAATTTTTTAAATTTTTCACATATTCACTTGTGTTATTTTCACGTGATATACTTTACTTGTTATGTTAGTGAAACTATCTCAACTTGTGTTTCATAGATTTTCCCATCTTTTTATCAACACAATTTGTCATGTAGTAGAGGAATCTTTGATTTATCTTTATGTTTAATTCTTTGTTTGTTTTCCCAATGGATAAGAATAAAAGTAAATGTAGGAATGCCTTTTTTGTCGAATAAGTGAGTTGATAAATTGTTATAAGTGATTACATACTTTTTCCTTTCTCTCTGTGTATGTATAGATAGAGCTTTGGAGTCCGTCCCTTCTGATCATCCAGAAGGAAAGCAATATCCAGCAGATGGTGAGATAACATTGTTTTTTTCTACCAAGAAGAAGAGTGAAAACTCTTGTTTGATGAGGTGTATAATAGAAGGTGTTTAGTAGAAGTCATATTGGTTTAAATTTTTAAATTTTTTCACATATTCACTTGTGTTATTTTATCGTGATATACTTTACTTGTTATGTTAGTGAAACCATGTCAGCTTATTGTTCATAGATTTTTTCATCTTTTTATCAACACAATTTGTCATGTAGTGGAGGAGTCTTAGATTTATCTTTATGTTTAAATCTTTGTTTCTTTTCCCAATGGATAAGAAGAAAAGTAGGTGTAGGAATGGCTTCCTTGTCGAATAAGTGAGTTGATAAATTGTTATAAGTGATAACATACTTTTTTCTTTCTCTCTGTGTATGTATAGATAGAGCTTTGGAGTCCCACCTTTCTGATCATCCAGAAGGAAAGAAATATCCATCAAATGGTGAGATAACATTGTTTTTTTCTACCAAGAAGAAGAGTGAAAACTCTTGTTTGATGAGGTGTATAATGGAAGGTGTTTAGCACTCATATTGGTTAAATATTTAAAATTTTTACGTATTCACTTGTGTTATGTTAACATGTGATATACTTTGCTTGTTATTATGTTACTGAAAACATGTCAACTTTTTGTTCATGCATTTTCCCATCTTTTTATCAACACAATTTGTCATGTAGTGGAGGAGTCTTAGATTTATCTTTATGTTTAATTCTTTGTCCATTTTTTTAATGGAGAATAATAAAAGTAGGTGTAGGAATGGCTTCCTTGTCGAATAAATGAGTTCATAAATTATTATAAGTGATTACATACTCTTTCCTTTCTCTCTGTATATTTATAGATAGAGCTTTGGAGTTCGACCCTTCTGATCATCCAGAAGGAAAGAAATATCCATCAAATGGTGAGATAACATTGTTTTTTTCTACCAAGAAGAAGAGTGAAAACTCTTGTTTGATGAGGTGTATAATGGAAGGTGTTTAGCAGAACTCATATTGGTTTAAATTTTTAAAATTTTTACGTATTCACTTGTGTTATGTTAACATGTGATATACTTTGCTTGTTATCATGTTAGTGAAAACATGTCAACTTTTTGTTCATGCATTTTCTTATCTTTTTATCAATACAATTTGTCATGTAGTGGAGGAGTCTTAGATTTATCTTTATGTTTAATTTTTTGTCCATTTTCCAATGGATAAGAATAAAAGTAGGGGTAGAAATGGCTTCTTTTTCGAATAAATGAGTTGATAAATTGTTAGAAATGATTACATATTTTTTCTTTTCTTGCTGTATAGATAGGGCTTTGGAGTCTGACCCTTCTGATCATCCAGAAGAAAGGAAATACTCAGCAGATGGTGAGACAACGTTGTTTTTTTCCACCAGGAAAAAGAGTGAGAACTCTTGTTTGATGAGGTGTATAATAGAAAGTGTTTAGGAAAACTCATATTTGTTTAAAATTATGAAATTTTTACATATTCTCTTGTGTTTTTTTAACATGTGATATACTTTGCTTGTTATCATGTTAGTGAAAACATGTCAACTTTTTGTTCATTGATTTTCCCATCTATTTATCAACACAATTTTTCATGTAGTGGAGGAGTCTTGGATTTACCTTTATGTTTAATTTTATGTCCCTTTTCCCAATGGATAAGAATAAAAGTAGAGGTAGTGAGATGGCTTCCTTTTTGAATAAATGAGGTGATAAATTATTATAAGTGATTATGTATTTTTTCTTTACAGATAGTTCCTTGGAGTTGAGATCTTCTCAGACATGGACATCCCAAACAGGTAGTGAGACATGTACCTTCCTTTTTGAATAAATGAGGTGATAAATTATTATAAGTGATTATGTATTTTTTCTTTATAGATAGTTCCTTGGAGTTGAGCTCTTCTGAAACATGGACATCCCAAACAGGTAGTGAGAAAAAACATTGTTTTTTCTGCCAAGACAAAGAGTGAAAAATCTTGTTTGATCAGATGTATTATAAAAACTTTTTAGAAAAACTCATATTATCCAACATAGTCGGAGGTCTTTTCTCCTTCTTGGATTTTCCCTCTGAGGTCTTACTTCCACACGGTCTCTCGTGGAAGCTTTCTCTCTTCTCTGTTTCTCTGTCTCTCTGTCTCTCTCTCTCAATAAAACATTTCGTTTAAATAAACAAACAAAAAGAAAAACTCATTTTGGTTTAATACCAAAATGAGAATTTGCTTTTTACCATGGGAATGGCACCAAGCCATTTATTAGGAATGCTCCACTGTTATCCAAACACTTTTCACTATGCCTTGTCCTCAGCATTAAGGGTCCCATTTTAACCTGAGATTTGGAGAGGGAGACATATCCAAACCATATCAGAGGTGTATTTTCCACTTACTTTCAGAGACATGGGCTCATCACACCTGGAGAGCATGAAAGCAGAAAAAAGAAAAGCTATTCCATGTCTCTCACACTTCAGTGATGGGAATGTTTGCCTACAAGGCCCTTCCAGCACTAAAGGTGGAGGCAGTATAAGAAACAAAGCAAGGCCCAAATCCCTCTTGAAGCTCTTACTATTCTGCCTTTTTTTTTTTTTTTTTTTTTTCGCTGCAGACACCATATCCAAATTTGTTTACTTTTTTAAACATTTAAATTTGGCTGGGTGTGGTGGCTCATGCCTGTAATCCCAGCACTTTGGCAGGTGGAGGTGGATGGATCAGGCGGTCAGGAGTTCAATACCAGCCTGACAAAAATGCTGAAACCTTGTTTCTACTAAAACAAAAACTAGCTGGGCATGGTATGGTGCACCTCTAATCCCAGTTACTCAGAGGCTGAGGCAGGAGAATCGTTTGAACCTTGAAGGCGGAGGTTTCAGTAAGCCAAGGTCATACCATTTTACTCTAGCCTGGGTGACAGAGGGAGACTCCTTTATATCAAAAAAAAAAAAAAAAAGAACAAACAAAAGATTAAATTTAAGATTGGTTACTTTTCAATTGTGTAAAGACCCCGTTTTTGTTTGTTTTTTTTTTTTGTTTTTTTTTGTAGCGACATATTAGTAGATGACCACTAATTGTGGTTGGAGAGGCTTACCGGGATTCTGATGCATCTAGAGATAGGTGCCTGGCCAGCAAGTAGTTCTTAGAGCTGTTAGCTCTTAGATTCTGGTAATTAAGCTATATGTAAATCCAGAATGGGAGAATACTAACGGATCATGGCTCATATATGCAACAATTAAATTTTTTAGTTAGCTAAATTTTTTATCTGGCCTAATTTTTTTGCCTATTTTTACATGAGCATTATTTCACTCTTATGTAACAAAACAGAAAGTAACCTAGGTCAAAAAATAAATCTGAGTTTTTGTATTTTACTTTATGAGATTTATCATGCCAGAAAATTTAAATTATAAATTGTTGAAATTAATTTTTTTAAATGGAATTTTTTCTCATTATCCATAGTAGTCAGTAAGATTTTAACAACTACTTTTATATTATTTGTGTCAGAAGTGACCTTTTTTTCTTTTATTCTTAGCACAAGAAATAGGAGAAAACAGCCGTAGAAACCATGTAAGTAAACAGATCAAAAAGTTTAGGAATTGATTGTTTGATGTAAAAGTATGTCTGTTTTGATTACTTTTTATTATAATGGGGACCCAGTGGTGATAGAGTGGACCTCGTTTCATGGATTTTCTGAATCTCTTCTACTTTCCTATCAAATTTATCCCAAAAAATCTTCAGCTTAGTGTACCCACCTTTTAAGGATTTCTGACACGTAAGTTAAATTTCAATACTTGGTTGTGGTATAAAGATCTGCTTTAAATATTTAGTCTTATTTTTAATGAAACAACAAAAAGAGCTAAGTTAATTGTCAGTATGGTGTATTGACCCTCTGTCACAGCAGGTGAAAGCTTATCTTCCTTGCTAACCATGACCTTATTTTTCTCCCTCTGTTTCTTTCAATTGTAGCACACTTTTTAATTCAATCAGTAATATTGACATGATTATGGCTATCCACATATTATTCACTGCTGAGTTATATGTTGTTTTCACTGTGTCTCTTCATTACATATTACTTCATTCTTTCTGTGAAACAGTTCTGAAATCTGAGCACTTCTGCACTTCTTCTGGATCATCTTTTTTTCCTGGCCTATGCTGGTTTATCCAGCCAAATGCAATACGTAGCCTCTGGATGGTCCGTCACTTTATTGAAAAATAATAATTGTTAAATTATATTTTACATATAATTTACATTTCACATCCATTATTTTTTAGCATGAAGCTGATTTTCTGACTATATTCATTTGCCTGTTTTCTAACAGCTGATTACCCACACACACACTCAAGTGTCGTAGCATTTATCACATGCCTTTCAAAGATATTTTCCATCTGCTAAAACATATCTGTTCCTCTTTGTTTTTGGCCGGTGGTGGGCAGCCTTTCTTTGGCCTTTTGTCATCCTAGTTTAGTATAGAGTGGCTTTACCTAGATATACTTGATCTTTTGGTCTATCTGTGCTATCTTTTTAAAGTCTTTTGGGACTCTCACATAACTGCCTTCTTGTGTGGGATCACGTGAGTCCTAGATTCTGTGTGTTTTTTTTTGTCTTGTTATCCTCTCTAGTTGTACTTAAGCACACGTTCCTGGGCAGAGATCTTTAGAGATCTGACCAGTCTTAAAATTCTTCTTCCTTGATAGAGAGTAAACTTCTAGGTTGAATCTAAATTTTATGGTTCTGAAGATATTCTGCAATTCTGCTCTTATCACCTTGTTTTCTTGAATCTATTGCCATTGCGTGACACGTTATTTATAACCACGTTTTTATGTGTTTTTGGAAGCTTTTTTGGAGCTTTTTTATCTCTGAGATTCTGAAATTTTATAATAACAGCGTGGCGGGGGATCTTTTCATTTTACTGAGGCTACTAAGTCTGCAGAGTCTCTTTTTGAGAATGTTTTTTATTTTCTCTGTTCCTTTTTTCTGATAGTCATGTTACTCAGGCGCTACACTGCTTAGACCAGTAGACCTGCTTTGGTTTACAATGTTTTCCCTTTAATTTTATATATATATATTTTTGGAGAGTTTTAACATTTTTTTAAAAAGTTTTGCTCCTGATTTTGACTGGTCCCATGAATTTGTGTGTTGTTTTAGTCTCTCTTGTTGGAGGCTTTACTCCAATGTGTGGTGGTCCCTGGCTTGCTTGCTTGATTTGGAAGCAGGACTTTTGTTAACTGATGGCACTCAGTGTGAGGTTGTGGAAGCAACTAGCTTTTCATTTGGGAGACCTCAGTGTATTACCTGGGGATCTTTATTCAAGACAGTTTAGTTTCTTGAGAATGTTCTTTTAAGTTTCTGCCTGACTACTTGCTTTCCAAAAGCAGAGTTAGGGAAGCAAGTTGGAGTTCCATTTTTGGTGTATAGTTTTCTTTATGTCTCAGGTTTAATCTTTGGTAGTTGGGAGCCAGAAATTCTCAGGTTTGGTATATCCAGGGAACACACATCTAAGTTTCTTATCAGATGGGAGAACAGGTGGATGTGAGTCTCTAACCACAGATTTTCAACTGACCTTGGTGGCTTTGTTTTACATTTGCACTACTTTTTAAAGTGCTATTTGCCTCTAAGTTCACAGCCCACCTTTAGTTCTACAAGACAAACTGCTCGCTTCTGTTGCAGTCACTTTCTCTTTTTTTTTTTCTTTTCTTTTTTTAAGACAGAGTCTTGGTTTGTCACCTGGGCTGGAGTGCAGTGGTGACATCTCAGCTCACTGCAATCTTCGCCTCCTTGGTTCAAGCGATTCTCTGCTCAGCCTCCTGAGTAGCTGGGATTGCAGGCAACTGCCATCACAGCCAGCTGATTTTTGTATTTTTAGTAGAGATGGGGTTTCACCATGTAGGCCTGGCTGGTCTTGAATTCCATGGCCTCCCAAAGTGGTAGGGTTATAGGTGTGAACCTCCTTGCCCGGCCTCCAGTCACTTTCTTTAGGCATCATAGTTGTGCTTCTCTGTTATTTACCACTTTTATCTACTTTTTGTCTCAGGATTTATTAAAAAGTATCTCTTTCAACTTATTCTCCTGGCACTGTGTTTTTCCTTATTTTGTGACTAATGAGATGTCTAGAGGGAGAGGAAATAGTTTGTGATGAATCTATTATATTAAATCCAAATTTAGGACCTCTATTAAAGTGTAAATCAAAGTTTAATTTCATTAATATCATTAATGGTATTATCTTATTACTTCATAACATAGATGGAGCTCTTTTCATGAATGTTCACAGTGTTACAAATATTTAAGTTAATTAAGATATGTTTATTTTAAGTCTGGTCAACAAAGCAAGACCTCATCTCTACAAAATGGTGAACTAACAAATTAGCCAGGCATAGTGGCATATGCCTTTAGTTTTACCTACTCAGGCAGCTGAGGCAGAGGATTGCTTGAGCTCACGAGTTTGGGGCTGCATTAACCATCATTGCACCACTGCGCTTCAGCCTGGGTGACAAAGTCAGACCTTGTCTCAGAAAAAGGAAAAAAGTTATTAATAGTTTAAAGA